TTTCCAAGAAATGAATGCAAAGCTAGAATTTAATGTAGTGTGTTCAGTGTAAAAGCCAATATAGTATGTTAAGTGACTTGAATGATTTTTCCTAACTTGTTTGCAACTAATAGATCATATTGAATGTTTTTATGTAAACTTTATATCGTTGGGAAAACCTACCCAATCAGAGATTTATATTTTCATAAATGTCAAATTTAGTTAAATTTTGTTACAGAGTTGTTAAATTAGAAATCTATTGCAGTCTTCAAACAATATACAGTCTTGTGTATGCATTGTTTGTACTAATAAACTATGGAAGCAGACTTGTATGTGTCTCTTAGTTTCAGGGAAATTTCACTCTGGCAGAGGGACACAAGGCCTTCACAGCTCCCTTTGGCCTGTATTTAAATAATTTCTGAGGGCTATATTCATAAGGAAGAATTTCAGTATTTTCCCCTTTCACTTGACTAGGTCATGCATTCAAAAAACCCGGTGAGATTTGCCAAAAAAACACCATGCTTAGGTGGTGTTTAGGACTAGAATGCACACTGCTGGTATGCAAGTCATGAAGGCTTGTGTAAACTACCCAGGACAAAGCACAGAACAGAGAGGAGCACCTGAAATCCCACTTTTCTTCAGATCTGTGGAGCTATGGACCTGTGGGAACCATGGCTCCCAGGATCCTGTCCTGAAGGTAAACCAACTTCCACCTTCTTTCAAATGCAGTTCATAACTCACACATTTCAGCCTTGAACTCCTTGTGCATAACCTGTGTAATATTGGAAAGTTAGTTCTTTCATTATCTTGGAGAAGTAAAGTACATCTCCTATCTGCCAAGAGAGTGGCTAACTTTGGGTGGTAATGAAGTATAGAATAATAATAGAACCACAGAATGCACTGAGTTGGAAGGGACCCACAAAGGACCATCAAGTCCAACTCTTAGTGCCTCACCGGACATCCCCAAGAATCACACCATGTGCCTAACCTATCTCATTTAGCTTTCCAGCTTTCTGTATCAATTTCTCAAGGGTCAGATTCCTCACATGGAGCCGAAGAGGGAGGCACAGGCTTCTGAATGGCATTAGGCTGCTCAATGTCCAAATACTTGCTACTGCAAGAGTGAGTGCTCCATAGCCCCTCACAAATCTGTCCCCAAGTACATCTATCCACAGGTATGGAGACTAAGTAGTTTCTCCAATAATGAGCCATCCAAATGCCAAGTGCTGTTCTATCCTTACATTGGAACAGAACAATTTATTTTCTGTTAAGGAGCACTACTTGCATGTTTAGTACAAAGCTTTCATCTGTTTTTTAGATAAAGTGCATCAATAAACAGGCTCAGTCATAGTCCATGTTTTCTGACACAGAAGACTCTAGGAATAGACCCTAGCTGCAAGAAAGCTTTAACGCGGAATTAGCCGGAAATTCTTTGGCAGACAAAGGTAAGCCGGAGGTCAGCTAGGAAAAATATTTTTATCTGTCATTTCCTTTGTACCACAGCTGGGGAATGCATGGTCCATGACTTCATTTCAAACGGCCTGTGGCCATTCGACTCTTTTTTCACGTTATTATCAGATAACATCAGAATGTGAGTTAACATGTAGCCCAGAAAACTCTGCATTCAGGGGCATTCAGGTTTCAGTGGCTCCCCAGCCCTGATTTCTCCATGCTGCAGCCTCAAGCCTGTGGAAACAGAAGTTTTAACCATCTTGCAAAGAGAATTTAAAGCAAATATTGATGGCTAAAATAGTGTTCATATGCAGAGGGTACTGTTTCAGCTTAAAATCCTGAGAGTTTGCCCTTTGTCAAAAACTATATGTGTGTCTGTATGATACATCATAAAGTCAGTCCTTTGGAGCACTACTATTAGGCTATTAACAACTATCTGCATTGTTTTATTTTGTTGATTAAAGATTTAAAAAATACCTGATTTAATATAACTATTATTATTGCAAAAAGACAGACTAATTTTATTTCTCCTAATTATAAAACCAAAGACGTACTACTATTTTACACATTATTTTTTTTTGATAGGTTTCATTACCAAGGATTTGTTACTAAGAATCCCTCTAAAGCCTTTATGCTATAAATATGACCCACTTCAAGTTCTTGTACCCTGCTGTGGACATTACTCATATCTCTTCCTGGGTCACCACATAGGTGCAAGAAGAGTAGTGAGCTACATTTTCTCCTGTGGTTTGCCTTTCCAGCCTTCCCAAGGCAGGATGAGCTATTTTATCATGTGCTTCTCCAGAAGGGGCAGCTTGGACCACCACCCCTCTGTGAAAAAGGGCCTCTCACTATCAAGGACAAGCTATGCAGAGCTCAATGCGCTCAAAAACCAGGTCAATAACTGGAAGAGTGTGAGGGAATGTTCTTCCAACACGTGCAGTCCAGCATAACATGCTCTTAAAATCACAGATGGTTCCCAAAGTGACTGTTAAAATCTGCCCCTACCAAGCCATTCTCCCTGCCTCCACTGTCCCAGGCCTATGCAGCTCTTGCTTACCAGGGTGAGTGATGCCTCCATCCTCAGCAAAGCCCCTGACATGTTCCCAGCCCTGATACATTCTCCACCTGTGGCATCTGCCCTTTTGGCAGCTCACCGGTCTCCTCTCCAGCCTCGGCAGTGAATATACAAAAATGGATTTTTGTTCACACATTCCCACTCTCAGAGCTTTCACCACACAATACTGTATAAATAAAATCATCTTCCTGCTTTTCTGCCATAAATCTCTGATTCCATGTGCATTTTAGTGTGTGTGAGAAAGCTTCTAGACTGAAATAGATCTATTCAGCATATTTAAAGTGAAATAAACAGAACTGCAAAAATCCAGACATGTTGTAGCACAGAAGAAAGCAGAACAGGGTAGTTTGCTGCCATTTGTCTATGTTATCCCATTGTATGTTAGTAAATTGTCCAGCACATCCCACTGTAATACCATATTGACAATAGTATATGAAGTCACAAAGTTAACCTTTTAGGCTGCAATTTTTCAAGGCAGCCTTATATCTCAGCAGGAACATTCTCCATAAAACTTCAGCCAAAACAGATACAAGAATGAGATTAAATGAAAAAGAGGATTTCTGCAGGCTGAATGTCTCAAATACTTTTGCTTTGAAAAAAATGTTGTCCCACCCGTGTTTTTCAACAAGGACTAAGGATTGGTGAGACAAGTGATCATTTCCTGCAGGACACATCTGTGAAAACCTGTCAGGCAATCATCCCAAAAAGATCCCAGCAGTTTGTACATATTCATAGAAGACGTTAGCTTTCAGGAGCACAGCACGCCTGGGATTGCAGGGGCTGGGGCAGAACTTTACTATTGCAGATATACTTGGTGTGGGTTTGAGAAATCATGAGAATGAACAGTCTGAGGAACAACAGAAAATACAGTACCTGAGTAAAACTCTGAGAAGGAGACCAAGTATCAGGAGAAGAGGAGAAGCAGCCTCCCTGAAGTTGCTCCCAGTAGCCTCCTGGCTTACAACTCAGCTTTTCGACTGGGACATTTCTCAGCCTATTAGCCCACCTCATCAGCTCAGCAGCCACGAGTGCAATGGCAAAATACCACAGGCAAAATACGGCCGAGCTGGGGGGTTACCTCCGGCTTGGCAGGGCTGTAAGCTGGGTACAAACACGGGCTGTGCACAGGGCTGCATGCAGTATCAGACTCCATGCTGCTAGAGGTAGCCCCAAACTGCATCTCCCGCCTCCCTCACCTCCTCTCACAACCTGGGGATGTGTTAGTGTAACAATTCTTCGCTTACTGACCAGAGAGCCTTTGGAGAGTTTAGTGAAGGTTCTGTACTAAGAAATTTCTTGGCTGTTGAAGTCCATTTTCAGCTAACACTAATTGTTTGCAGGAGAAAAAAAGAAAAAAAAAAAAATTGCCAAAGAGCTGTTGCAGAGCTTTGCAGCTCACAGCCTGTAAACGACACTTGGTCTTTACATTATGACATAGCCCTCTACTTAAAATAACCATGTCCAAAGCAGTTTTTATTAATTTCTTTGCTGGAATCCAACATTTCACCCCCCATGTGTGCTGGATCCTGCAATAGGAAGCTGGGCCAGGCAGCACATCTGAGTCCCTGCTTCCAAGCACGGGACCTGCCTGCCTTCCCCAGCCCACTGCTGGCACGAGTTTGACAGTCTCAGCTTCAGCTCAGAGCAGATACGAGGGAAAGCATGACAGGGCAAACCCAGCCCATGCTGAAGCTGGATTTTAGGAGGATAGTTTGCATGAGAAAAGTAAAAAGGAACCCAGCACCATCCTTCCAGGGAAGGCAAGGAAGGATGCAACCCCTGCAAAGCAGGGAGGCAACCATAAATCCGGCATTATTTAGAGTGAGAACAGCACACCTATACACTATAGCACACACACAAGTGCTTCCATGAGGCTTAACACCACATTAAAAAAAAAAAAAAAAAAGAAAAAAAGGGATTTAGCTGAACATTTCCAAAGTACTATCAAGAAGGCTCTGTTAGCCCTGCTCAGCACCCCCGGCTGTGCCACAGGCAGTCAGGTGACGCAATCTGAGTGCCCGTTCTTTCCGGGAGGTTTTTTTTAGTTTCCAGGTACATCGATATATATTAAAGGTCACACCTGACCCAGATGCATGCTTAAGTTAAATCTCTCCTCCTGCACAGGGGACACTCTCTTAACAGGGCTATGGCAGTAGGACACGTTCCGTATCACTTTTGGAAACACCACACCCAAATCAAAATGATTCCAGGAAAGTCAGAAGCTTTCACAGGTAAATGTGACGTGATGCCTGCAAATATACTTTAGAGCTGAGTTTCTCCATAGAGAATCACCCAAAACAGTGGGGAATAAACATTGCCAGGCAACATGTAAGAGAGGAACTTTCTGCCAAATCCTTCCAGCACTGTTTGTGATATGGGGAGATTCAATTTTAAGAATATGCAAATGACAGTGTGAATACACTGACGGGCTCGGACTGTGTTGTGGTCGTTCTAAGTGACTGTCTCCGAGGAAAGGAATTATTTGGCACGTGTTCTTCTACTTCTTTTTTTAAGCCTGATCATAAAAGGGTGAGCTCTATCAGGTTTTTATTCAGCCTGCAGGTAAAGGGTTACAGATTCTAGGAAGTATTAAATGCAAACTTTGAAGGATTTTATTTTCATCTACAGTCACATGATGCCTTAATACCCAATGACACTAACTACAGTGTCTCATTAAGAGGTCATGCAAACTCCCAAGCTAAACAAGGCATTCTTACATATTTAACATTCAAATGCAGAAGCCAAGCTAAGCCATGGAAGATTGTAATCAGAAAAAGCTACACTTCCTGATCCGCACAAAACCTGCAGGTAGGAAAAGTTCTTCCTTTAAACTTGTAACATTGTGCTTTCTAGAGAAACTGTTTAGAAGACATATTTTGCACTCTAATTCTTTTGTACCTTTCGAAATACCCTAAGAGCTTTATCCTGAAAATATCTGTTTTCATTTGTTCCACCTGTTGTAGAGTAGTATTGTTTTTACGATCAGAAGTACAGTTGGCTCAGCGGAAATCCAAACAAAACCCTTTTTAAGCCAACTCTATTTAAAAAGTAATATTTTTTTAAGATTTCTTAGTTAGTGAAATGGTTGTGTTGGAGTATCTGGGGCAAAGGGGGAGTTAATATGCCTTTGATGTCTGAAATGAAGGGATTTAGAACTCTTCTGACTTTACTTATATCATGAATTGCACATTGTTTTAGTCACTCAAATCAAAGTGTATTTTAATGGATTCGGCTTCCTCACTGTATTTACATGATTTCTGATCTCCCCTCCTAGGACTTGGTACATTTAAAAATAAAATCTTTCAAAAGCAAATGAAAGGCAGATGGGGAGTACTAGTGCTCCATAAAAGGAGAAAAAGAATTACAGAATAGGGACTCAGAGGAAAGACAGTTAAAATCAGTTTGTTTAAATCAATAATTTAAATTGCATTAAAGTATATCAGTTTTCACATGGAGTGATAAAGTTTAACCAACAATTGCTGGCAATATTGCAGGAGTCCTTTTTTTTTTTTTTTTTTTTTAACTAGTGCTGAAGGAGTTTTCCAGTGTAGAACATTAGCATTTTCATTACAAAGATCTTTTTCTCATTATGATTTTTCTTTTAACTGTAATTGTTTTCAGACAGTGTTCTAAATACTCAGCATTTTAATCTCTTTATAGGAATTTGGTTAAAGAGTACATTCTATAGAGCTACAGAATCTAAATTTACTAAAAAATCTCTAATGCTTCATAAGATTTGCACTTCCTAAGGATTCCCAGTGCACAAAAGCAGCAAGCAGTGTTTATTGTTTTGCTCCTGCAATGGATGGGTGGCAGATTGTATTTTTTTTGAAGTTTATCCTATAAAACACATCTCTTTTCTTCTTCACACATAATGCTAGGAGACACCAAAAGAAGTAGAGAATAATTACACCTGAAGCAACTTGCTTCTGTAAGCTCTTAACTTTCTTTGGAAAAAAAAATAGTTTTGTCATTATCAGTATTTAAAATAAATTTGAGTCTGAACAAGTTTACCAGTGGTACTTCGAAAAATTGTTATTCAGTTTCAGAATGCCCACCTTGAAAATAGAGGGTATTATGCTGAGGAGGATCATGACCCAAGTATGATCAGCCTAGGTCAGCCTGAGACATCAAGTGTCTTCTTATCAGGCTAATTGTACCAACCTCCCGACAGAGTCGCTCACAACTGTGCCAGTGGGAGTGTAGCAATAAGCCACCACACTTTAAAGAACTCTTCTGAATTTACTATAACTGACCTCTGAACTTATGTCACTTTCAGAAATCTATTTAGAAACTCTTGTAGATAAGGGGCTTATTTGCTAAACTACATTTAAATCTCAGGGGAGGGAGAGGAACACACCAGCTCCCAAAATACAGCCAACCACAGATTTTCACCAAGGAGGAATGTTGCACCTGAAACACCAAGAGAGCCTGCCATGGCCAGTCTCTTTTAAGAAATGTTTGTACAAATTGGGTGTGTCATGGTAAACCAGCTCTTAGTAGCTCAGTAGTTAAATCTGTTGAATGTTCATTACACAGAGTGTCTCTGCAGGGTGGAAGGTACAATGCACACTGTTACTCTGTGACCAGAAAGATAGGGTGGCCATTGAATGAGGGGAAGCCTTCACTCCTTTCCTAAAGAAAGGAATACAAACGAGATATTTGCTGTCTAGTACTAGTAGTTCAGATGTTTTTTGTACCCACAATTTTACATTTAGTAAAGGAATTTGTACTGCTTTTCTTTTTTTTCCAATGAAAAAAACCAACCTATTCTCTTGCTTTGTCACATCAGTTTAGAATCAAATGTAGTGTTGTTTCATAGGGAAGCCACACAAATCAAATACTTCCTGCTCATAATCAAAAAAAGAAGTTCCTGAAAACTGAGACAATTGGAAACCTAAGGGAGAACTTTTCTCTTGAATTTTGGAGAAGTCAAGCAAATGTAAAATGTAAAAATGAAAACGCTACCAGAAGTTTGGAACCAGAGCTAAGACTAGCACTGGTCAAAAGCCAATCCAGATCTTCCAAAAAGCTTGCAGATCTCAGGAAACTTGTACCAGATTTAAGGCTTATATCAAAAATCCTCAACCTGATGATTTTGGCACAGTTCTAGGCAAGTGGGAAGACAGAGCAAAAGCTTCAGGTGAAGGGAACTGTGGCTTCCTTCCTTGAAAAGCCGGGTTAAAAGTGATCACTCTGCAAGGTAAACATTTGTGAGTGTTGAGGCCCTTCTCTAACCGCCCTGTTGTTTGTACCTGAGCTCAAGGAAACAAACTTCTAAAATATTTGCTCTCAGACTTTACTGAATGAAAGCCAAGAAAAGCCTTTATTCACGTCTTGCAGGAAGGGATGGTCTTTTGCTATGTTTGCACAGCATCCAGTTAAATATGGCCTCAGCATTGTCTACATCTTCCACTGATGCTGTTTCACAAAAGATTTGAGGTGGCAGGGACTCAACCCACTGAAGCATGATGAAATGTAGTCAGGCAATAAATATTTGTTTGGAAGTTACAATTTCTCCTTCAGACCTGTTTTTCTGAGGATTATATATGGTCACCTGTCAGCAGAGTATGCCTACGACTTCCACAAAACACAGTCGTGATGGAGAGGGCGGGGCTAACCAGAGCACGGGGCCAAATCCCCACTGCTCCTTAACCAGGAGCACCTCATCTACCACCTGATCATGCCAGAGAAGCAATGTCAAAACTTCACACCCAAGCAATGGTGCATGAAAATCACTGATTTTTGCTAAGCTACAGAAGAGTGCTGGCAAGCAACATGTATTGCTACGAATAGGTATAAAACACAATGCAGTTTTACTTATTGAAAGTTTTATATCAAAACAGACAAAATAAATGAGTTTCAGTAGAAAGGTCAAAAGGGATTGCTGTAAAAAGGGAAAAAAAGGCAACAATTTTCCTGTGAGTTCTCCTATGAGTCACTTTCACTTAGACATATGGAAGAACTTCAAAATTTTATTAAGAACTGAATACATTGCTTGGAAACTAAACATTTAATCACTTACAGCAGGACAAAAAAAAAGGCACAAGTTTTCTTTGTCTGTGTGACTCTTTTCTGTCTACCATTTTTAAAAAAGTTTATTTAATTTCTATTTTTCACTTTAATCACAGATGTTTGCTGCAAAGCCATAGATGCTTTCTGGTTAGAAAAATATTTCTGGTTGAATACTCAATTATTAATTCACAGAAGTTACTTTTCCATTTAAGATAGCAAGGAGGAGTAAGCCCTCTCCTTGGGGCTTACTCTTTTGAATGCCAGCAGCTGGGCTTGGGCCAACTTTGCATCACTTCCCTACTATTTAATATATTTGTGTATTTCCATTAAAGAGCAGTTAATTGCATGATTTTATACAAACAAGGTCCAATGCATTGCTATTACAGGCAATCTGCTTTTCAGAAAGGACTGAGTAACAAGGACAAATGTGTCCCATTCAAGAATAAGACACACCCAGTGACTGAAAAACCTTTCAGTGTGAAGTCCAACCTGGGAACTTTTCACACTGGCTCCAATGGGAACAGCATCAAATCTTCACACTGCCGACAGAGATCAGGAGAAAAAGAAATAACCTGATGCAAGTGGTGCCGGTACTACCCAGCACCTTGTTGCCAGCACAAACAGCATGGCAGCAGTATGGGTTTGCCTGTGCTGGACAGAAGCTCTCCAGAGCATACCAAAATAGATTATGTCACATCCGATCTCCCATGCTCAGGACAGGTGCATCTGGATGTTAAAGCACTTTGCCCAAGCAGGTTGGCATTAATCTCCTCTTAAGATACACCCTGATACAAAGTCTGATGGCAGCTTTGGGGCAGGAGAGGCAGGGAGTGACCCAAATGAGCCATATGGAGCCACATTTCCACAGTCCTGAGGACCCCTCAAAACTGTGGGTCTGTTCCTTCCCTGACTACATACTCTACCCACTGAATTTATTGCAATGACTGCATTTATTGACTGGCATGTATTTCTTACATTCACTTCCCCCTTTGAAACACTGTTTTATCAGCAGTAGATTTGGGAGTGCCCAGCTTTATCTACCTTATTGAGCACCGGAGCTTTGTGCAACAGCCTCGGGTGCAGAAAACACCACCTATGCCCTGACACAGCCATCCAGAAATTTCCTCCTCTCCCTTCTGGGCTGTGCGCTCCCTCCTACAGCCGGGCCATGCAGAAGGACACCCCACCAAAACCCAGGTCCACTGTGCCAGGGCACCTCCCAGTCCTGGTGCTGAGGCCCACAGCCAGCCTGGGCTCCCTTGCCTGCTGCTCCTCTTGCCCAGCCAGTGAAACCATGCTGCTCCACCACATTACAGGCAGTTTATTTCCTCAAAAAGAAGTGTTATTCACTCTTACTCCTCTGTGGCGTGCAAGGTTAATAGCAACTGCATTTGTGTGATTTTAACGCTACAAATTTCCATGGAGCTATTCTTCTCCTCTACTTCTGTTCTACTCATAAAAGAAGCATAAGTCTCAGGCTAATTCATGCTTTTGAAGTAAGCTGGCAGTCTTGTTCACTTATAACTCAGTGGAAAACAAGCAGTCAGCTGTCAGGAACCTGGATAGAGCTTTGTTAAGGGCCTCTCTGTCTATTTTTGGTTTGGGTGTGGCATGGAAAAAACAATATTTACCATCTCAGTAGCTGTGCCCTTGTGTATTTGTTTTCATATTCCCTTTCCCCATGTGAATTCAGCAGATGTTGCACGGCTTGATATCAGCCCTGCATTTTGCTGTCAGTGTACGTGCATGTCTCCACTGAACATTAGTAATGATAGGCAGTGTCTGCACAGAAA